TCCAAGAAATGAAAGACAGGAGCCAAGGAGTCGATGAACAAGAAAACTAATGAAAATGTTAAGACCAAATTCTGACATAGTTCCAAGCATTTAATAGGTATTACATATCAATCAGATTGCAATAATGAGTTGGTGGTATTGCTGGATAGCACAAATCTTGAAAGGGGAGACTTTTTCATTTGAAATAAGCTTACTAATATTTTTCTTAGTTATACCTAACATTATGATTCATTTTGACATAAGTATAAAAGCATGGAATATAATTTGCTCTAATTCAGTCCCCAGTATTTCCTCTTTCTCTCTCCTCTTCCTCATATTCTCTTCCCTCTATTCAACTGATCTTTCTGCTATTATAGTTGTTGTTTTTAAGTTAGTGTCTTGTGGATATATATATAATGGTGAGATTCACTGTGGTATATTCATATGTAGATAGGAAAGTTAGGTCAGGTTCATTCCATTCTTCTTCCCTTATCCCTTCCCTCCGCTCTTCCCCTTCATCTAGTCCAATGATCTTCTCTTTTGATGGAATTCGTACCCCTCTTTTCCTTTCTTTTTTCTCTCCCTTTCTCTTTTTCTCCCTTATTTTGGATTAACTTCTGCATATCAGAAAATATTTGACCTTTGATCTCTTGGGTCTGGCTTACTTAGTATAATAGTCTCCAGTTTCATCCATTTACCAGCAAATGCCATAGTTGCATTCTTCTTTAGGCTGGGTAATACTCCATTGAGTATATTTACCACATTTTCTTTATCCATTCCTCTGATGAAGGTGCCTAGGTTCATTTCATAGCTTGGCTATTGTGAATTGTGCTGCCATAACATTGATGTGGCTGTATCCCTATCGTATGCTGATTTTAGATCTTTTGGATATATACTGAGGAGTCTGATAGCTGGGCCATATGGTGGTTCCATTCTTCCAACAGTTGCAGAGTTTCTGCTCTAATTCCTAGGTGTTTGAACCACTTTTGAGTTTACCGTAGTGCAGGGTGAGAGATTAGGGGTCAAGTTTCATTCTTATGAATTTCCAGTTTTTCCACCACCATTTGTTAAACAGGTTATCTTTTTCTCTATGTATGTATTTTTTTTTCTTTTTTGGCATGTTTGTTTAGTATCAGATAACTATTCATGTTATCTCTGTGTCTTCTATTCCATTGGTCTTCATGTCTGTTTTGGTGACAGTCCCATGCTGTTTTTGTTGCTTTAGCTCTGTAGGATTATTTGAGATCGGGTATTGTGATGCCTGCAGCATCACTTTTTGCTCAGGATTACTTTGGCTATTCTGAGTCTTATTTTTCCAAATGAATCTTAGAACTAGTAAAAGCACAGAATTTAAAAATTTCTGTGAAGAATGCCATTGGTGTTTTGATAGGGATTGCATAGAATCTGTATAATGCTTCTTGGTAGTATGGCCATTTTAATGACATTGGTTCTGCCTATCCAAGAGCATGGGGAGTCTTTTCCATCTTCTAAGCAGGTGAGATATTTTTGTGAATACCAAATAGCATATGTTTGGAAGATACAAGTGTGAAACTACTCTTTACCCTGGAGAATAAGGCAGAGAAATGGAGAAAGTAGGATGCTAGGAAAAATCCAGATTTCAACTAAAGTAGAAGATGGAGGGGAACAACCCACAGAGATGGAGATGCAGAGGCTTAGAATTTTCCTCCATGTAAAGATGGATTCTAAAGGACCTCAGGGGAAAGAATGAAAAGGAGACTTTTGGTTGAAGAAGGATACAGAAAAAATGGTCATAAATAAAGTGGGCATCTGTAACATGCTCTTCTCCTTCTGTGTCCATCTCATCTCTTATAAAGACACCAGTCATGCTGAATTGATGGTTCACTCAACTCCAGTATGACCTTAAATAACCATACTCACAATGACCCCATTTCCAAATGAAATCACATTTTGAGATTCTGGGAAGGACATAGTTCAGTTCAATACAGTGGGCTTCTAAAATTAATAGCAAGTGACTTCTGCCTTTAGGAAGATGTGGTTCCTGAATGTAGTTGGGGAAATGGGTACAGGAAACCATCATGAAAAGCAGTGTGTTCAAGTGGTTATGGGTACAGAACAGTAGACACAGGGAGTCAGTAAGAGATTGTGACTACACAGTAGTCACTGAAGGCTTCAGGGTGCAGTTGGTGACAAGCCTGTAGGATGACTTGTATTAGCTGGCAGTAACAGGACAGCAAAGCATTCTGGGATAAGGGGTTAGTCTGAGCCGGTGCAGTGATGCCTTAGTGTACCCACAATGTAGAATACTCTGTGTGTCTGGAGGGTGTGGCTAGAGGACAGCATGACCTCTGAGTAGTGGTTTTGGGTACCAAGGTGGTCACTGGGAAGGGATAGAGAAGGGACGAGGGATGAATTTAGGAGGAGGTGAGGTAAAGTGATGGGAGCCTCTTCATTTATTTCCATGAAGGACCATCACAGAATGGGATCTCTGAGAGGCTGTGGGAGTGGCCAAGGGGAAAGGTCAAGGAGAGAGAGGATGATCATTCCTTCAGGGATTCTGGAAGTCAGAAATGTCACTGAGTTGAATAGGGGTGAAGAAAAATGACAAGGCAGTTTTTGCTCTTGTGCCAAGTTCTGTTTCGGAGCTGAACTGCTTTGAAAGATGACTTCAGGGACCGCCTTAGGAGGAGGTGGAGGGTAGGTGGCTGCTTACATGACGTTTGATTTCTGAGTCATCAAAAAGGCTCAGTTGCCTCCCAAAATATCTCCTTCATCTAGACAGTGGGTACTTGTAATTCTACTACTGGAAGTTGGTTTCCTAAGGTTTTCCCCTCTGTTGCAATGCAAATGCCCTCTGGAGAGGAATACCCATTCACCTTCATCTGTCTGAAGGGATTTTCTCAGCCTTTCTCTTTTTAAAAAAAAAATAATTTTTAATTGTCAATGGACCTTTATTTGTATGCAGTGCTGAGAAACAAACCCAGTGCACATGGTAGGCAGGCGCTCTCCCACTGAGCCACCACTTCAGCCCCTCTCAGCCTTTCTGTATGGTAGAAATTTGAGAAAAGCACATGGAGGGAAAAGGAAAGGAGACCATGGAAAGGAGAGTGGACACACTGGTGGTAAACTTAGCCAAGGTAGCTGACCCTAAGGACGTACTCCCTTGGTCAAGAAAAATCCATTATGATTCTTACATCCAGCTCTTTCTTGCTCTGTGTTGGATAAGAAATGATTAGTTTTAAGTTTTATGGCAACAACACTGTGTATTTGTTTTTGTTTTTTAAAGGGCAATAAATCCCACCTCTCCCACCCTCACCTCAACAAAATCACTTTTTGCGGCAACCTGATTTCTGGTCTGTATCGGCAAGGCTATGCTACGTGAGATTGTGTTCATATGACAAAAGGGCTCTGTGCTTGTTGGAGAAYGCTAATACTGTTTCAGAGGCTTATTTAGAGGTTTCCTTCTGGTTCACCACATTATAATCCAAGTGGATTGGGGGAAGGGGCCTTCCACATAGTCCTTCTGGATCTAGGTTCCTTGCAGGCTGTAATTTCCACCATCTTCAATAGGTAGCTTCAAGGTCATAATGAGCCTTACCTCTAAGGCATGGTGGGGGAAAGAGAAAGCATGCCTTTGCCTGCAAGTGACACATAAGTCATCTCACTTTTCATTGGTAGGAACTTGTCCCATGGTCATCCAGATGGAAGGTGACTGGGAAATGTCATTTCACTATGTGCCCAGAGAGAGGAAATGGCCTTGGAGAGTAAGAATACACAGATGCATCAGAAAGCATTTATCTGTTTTCCTTCTGACTGTGATGTAACTTGACCTTCGTGGGGGACAGGTTGTCATTAAAGGACAGTGAATGAGAGAATAGCAGTGACCTAGAAACTGTCTGGTGTTTAGGATGGTAGAAAGTCATTCAATCCTCTTGGTGAAGGACATCATCCTTCCTTGGATTTTTGCCACTTAAAGGAGGACAAAGTCTTAAAGAAAAGTCTGTTTTCTTATTTTTTTTCAGTGGAACTTTAAAAAAGTTGAACTTTCCCCTGTATACATCTTGGATTTGCCTTAGAATAGGAGTTTTGGGGTTTTGAGTAGGTGTGGCTTCTGTAATATGTTTCATTTCCCTTTAGAGATGAGAGGATGTTAGTGTTTGGAGAAGAAGAAGAAACCTTGTAGTATATTCCCTTCACTGTCCAGACAAGGGAACCGAGAGGTAATGGAAGGGTCTACATTTACAAGTATATATGGTCTCAAACGCCGTTTTCCAGATTTTTGCTCTGATGGCGTTTTTCACCACCACCATACTCTCATAGAAGGCTGTTGAACAGACCTGGCCTGGTGCGATCCAGGAGTCTCCCTGTAGCACTGTTTCCTCAGTTGATAATGTTTTAGTAGATGGTGTTTGATTATACAACCCCTAACCTGAAAGAAATGACAGTCTTTCAAGAATTTATAACTTTTCTCAGAAAACAATCTTAGTCATTCTCTGCTATTTAATTTATTTTAAATTTCCATGGTTTTTAAATACCTTTTTACTCATTATAAAAGTCATAATATAGAAAATAAGTGTATAAAAGTCTAACAAATATATACCAATATGTTTAAAAAATTACCTGTAATTTCATAACCTGACAATACAGCAATAAYGACTGTTAAATTTTTTTGTTTCCTGACCATTTTGTAACCCATATTTATATGCCTGTGCACAATGGAATGTGAAATACAAATGTGGTGCAACCCTTAAAAATTGTTTAAAAATAAGTAATGATATAAAGATACTCCCTTATATTTGTATACTTTGGCACAACRTCATTCCTATTAATTTGCTTTTTTAATTTGCTTTTTAAAGAAAGAAGGAAAAAGTTAAGAGAAATCTCCATACCATACTCTTGGGAATAAAATTATGATTTTAATTTTTAAGGGTTGCATAATATTGTATCTCATGAAAATACACTAYGCTTAAAATAATGGCCCAAGTGGGGAGGAGGAGAGGGGTCGTATCTTCCATCCTGACTCTGTGTTCCTCTTCTCACAGGGCATCAGCAGCCTCTTCAGCTCTCTGAAAGTTGTTCGGCTGCTACGTCTAGGGCGGGTAGCCCGTAAGTTGGACCACTACATTGAATATGGAGCTGCCGTGCTGGTCCTGCTGGTGTGTGTGTTTGGGCTGGCTGCACACTGGATGGCCTGCATTTGGTACAGCATTGGGGACTATGAGATCTTTGACGAGGACACCAAGACGATCCGCAACAACAGCTGGCTCTACCAATTGGCAATGGACATTGGCACTCCTTACCAGTTTAATGGGTCTGGCTCAGGGAAGTGGGAAGGTGGTCCCAGCAAGAACTCTGTCTACATCTCCTCGTTGTATTTCACCATGACCAGCCTCACTAGCGTGGGCTTTGGAAATATTGCCCCATCCACAGACATTGAGAAGATCTTTGCAGTGGCTATCATGATGATTGGATGTAAGTATGGCAGTGCTGGGTTGGCGGGGTGGGACGTAACTTTGGGCCATCCCTTCTGTTAGCTGGAAATAGGGCAGTGGCTCTTGTGCCAGCAGAATGGAGAGAGTTAAAATAAGGGACAGAGTTTTGTTGTTGTTGTTATTGGTGGTGTTGTTTTTAAAGACTAGCTTTATAGTTTTCATGATAATTAAACATGCTCACTGAAAARAGTTTAGAAAATATAAGAGTATGAAGTAGAATGTGAGGACTATCCATAATTCTAGCTCTCAGATAAAGATAACTGTAACTTTTTGATGCCTTTCCTTAGACTACTTTCTATATAAATCTGAACACATAGATACCAATTTTTATAAAGTTAAAATGAGATCGTGTTACTTGAATACTTTAAATTTTCCTGTAACGGTGAATTGTAGAAATCTGCCCAAGACATTTTTCTTAATAAGAGGTATATAACATGTTTTGCCATATACAGTGAACCATAGTGAAGCAAATTAACATATTCATCTTCTTGCTTAGTTACTTGCCTTTTTTATTCAGTGAGAGTTCTTGAAATCTACTCTTAACCAGTTGTAACATTCAATATGGAATTAATTATTCTTATGTTGTACATGTCAATTTGAACATAGCTCTAGTTCTACACCGCCCAATAGAATGAGGAGAAGAATGTGAAAAAAGAATATAAAATGTCTCATTAATTCTTTGATGTTTATATGTTTAATGAATAATACTTTTGATATATTAGGTTAAATGAAATATTCTATAATAATCTTTTTATCCTTTTAAGTGTGGCTCCTGGGAAAATTTTTAAATCTTACTCCTTTTGGACAATGCTAGTCTAGACCAACATTTTGGATATCTGCTAATGGTTGATAAATTTTCCAACTCAAAACAACAAAACAAAAATAAAACCACACAAGTAAAAGAAAGGGGTGGGGGAAGTCCTTGTTTAATTGAGAAGGGAGAGATTAATGGAGTAACATGCCTGAGCTGAAAAATAATCCTAGTTCTTGTGGCAGGTATTTAAATCTGAGTAACTAGCCCACTGACCATTGTGTAGCTATTCCTATTGTGGAGTATGAAAGTCACCTTGGGCTGCAAATAGCAATGAAGTCTTAGGTAGGACTTAGGTAGGACGGCCCCAAGTGGGCTAGAAACAGCAAAYTTGAGCAGATTGGACTCGCTCTGAAACCACCAGGCACACCCTGCCAATGCTTCAGTGACAGATTGGGTCATGGGAGAGGACAGCCCCAGTGAAGCATCAGTTTGGACAGTGTTCTGGTTACTCTGAAGGACTTGGGGGCTCTGGTTCTGCTTTTGCTTGCTGTGCTCTGTTATGGTGGAGTTGACGAATTAACTGTTAAACCAACCAGAAGAAAATCTGAGGCTTCAGTTTATCCAGCTGACCGGAGATGGAGCATCCACTCTGGGAGTGGATTTTGTTACCCAGATTGTCACATTTGCTGCTTGTCACCTCCTTTCTGGCAACTGCCTCATCAAGTCTAAGGGAGTCCTTTCATCAAAGCCCTCTGTGCAGGCAGAGTTTGCCTGAGCATATTTACAGAATGTGTCTAAAGGGGTAATGGATTGTGGGAAGCAGGAAGTGTCTGCCAGTGGAGCTTTGGGTTTGCTCCTTACTTTAAAAGGGGTTTTAATAGAGATGATTGCCTGGCCATGGGAAGCAGTGTTAAGGATCTGTGGGTGGCTAATTGCTTTGGTTTAATTAGAACTTGAGGTACTTTCTCATGTTGTAGGAAAGAATTAAAGACCTTTACTCTTCTAAAAGGGTTTCAGCCTTAAAAGCTGTGAGCCCTGGCTAAGAAACAGGTGCAGTCTTGGGGTGTGTGTGTGTGTGTCTCTCTCCATTAGTGCTGGGATCCAGCTTAAGGCCTTGTGCGTGCTAAGCATGGGCTCTACCACTGAGCAACACCCCTCACCTGCTGGTGGCATTCTTATGAGCCTTGGAGTATCCAGTAATCAACAAGATGCAGTATGCTTGGGAAATGATTTCCTTCTCTTAGTGGGGAGATGAAACACTTTGTCAACTTGCACAGCTCATTATATCTGTTACAGAGAATTTGCCTAAAGTGTTCAGTTAGAAAATAGGCCCTGTTTCACGGCTCCCCCAAAGGCTTTCAAATACCAATCTCTCTGCAACTTCTTACCTAGAAGAAAGCAGCTCTGTTGGCATATAATCAGAATAAGCAATTTATTTTTCTTCCCAAAACCAATCTTCTATGAAGAGCATAATTTCTTGGGTATCCAGGGAGAACCTCAATTATTACCACTTCTTGTCTTTTCTCACCTTCTCAGAGTCAGGTGACATTTGCATTTCTTAATGTTTTTAAAAAGTGTAATACACAGGTAGTCGCCTCTGCATTATGCAGCCACGCGTGACATTTAGTTAAGCATGGGCTATTTAACACTGTTTCCTGCTATTTGTCAGGCACTATGCTAAGGGCACTCCGTGGTTTCTATTGCTTATGACAACTGTGTACATTAGAGATTATTATCTTTGTTTTATACGGAAATGGACACTCAGAGAAATTGACACAATTTCCCAAGGATGTGGGGCTGTGGTCAAGAGCGAGGATTCAGGTCCAGACCCCTCTTGTGAAGGTKATGGGGTAACAGGGCAGATGTTGTGATGTGATGGAGTAGTTTAATAAGGCAGGTTCTGACTACCTCTCCATGTTTACTCCCTGACATATTGAAAATTCTCTCTGTAAACTTTAGCAAGCCAGCAGCTTCTGCAGTGGAAAGTTTTTCTATGCTTGTTTGTAGTTGTTGTCGTTTTAATTTAAGAACAAGATTATGTTACAGTCTCAGGGGACCAGGTGCTTAGGAAACCAGCCATTTTTCAGCAACCTGTCACTTAMGGTTACAGCTGTTCCACTTCTCGTGTGACACACGTCTGACAAATTCTTGTGCTAACAAGAAAGTTATTGCACTCTGTGTAATGAGTGGTAATTATCCTTGTAAACTCACATTCTCAACAGCCTTTGTTCAGGACAACTGCTGATGTCTTGTTGGGTTTACGGGCTTCTTCTATCTTGCTTTGCCTGTGTGTACACATGTGAACACTTACCTGCTTCCTCATAGCACTGAACTGTACCAGAATGGGGATCTCTAGCCATGGGGAATRTTGGCTGCAGCCTGCATTTACCCTGAGCTCTGTGCTGCCTCCATCCAAGGTCACCTCAGCAGCCTTTACAAAGTGGAAAAAAGACAAAAACCAGTGGACTTCTAAAATAGTGGTTACATTGTGATTTTTTTTCCTTCTGTGCTTTGAATTTTACATGCCCTGATAATAGTATGTCTTGCCTATTTGGTTATAGTGTGTTAGCCATAATATAGATTATCCAAGCTTTCCTTTGCTTCTCTTCCCTGCAGTCAACATCTCATTACAACTGGGTTCATTCTCCAGAGGATGCCAGGAACTAAAAAAAAAAAAAAAAACCAAAAAACAAAAAAAACTAAATATTTGCAAGCTAGTCCACCTTGCTCAATTCTAATTTTTTAAAAAAATTGCATTAGGAAGAGGTGAAAACTATTGGCTAAAATAATTTTTTTGCAGTTAGCCATGGGGGTAGGTGTTCTGTGGTGTTTCCAACTGTCTGGTTTTATTTCTTAGTCCCAGTATTAGGTCTTGGCCTTGACCAGGGGCAAGATAGCCCTTGCTCTGGCCTTYCTGCCCTCCCATCCTAGGTTTGTGATGGTCTACAGTGGTCACCCTGGGATGTGGTGGATGGACTTACGTTTTTTTCCACATAAATCTCTCCTGCGTGTTATACCCTGAGACACATCTGACAGAGACTGTCCCCCATTCAACAGGCACATGCTGATTGCCTCACAATTATTGCTCTGAGTCTTCAGGTTGGTAGTGGATGTGGGTGGGAGGAACAAAGACAGGCCCTTATGGTCCACCAGTCAGTGATAAAGGTCTGGAAGTAGAATCTTCATCCAATGTGGCTGAGCCTTGCCCCACCTTTGAAGGATCCCTCAAAGGACRAAGAATGGTCGGAGGAAGAGCCTCTTTATCTGGAGGTCTCAGTCTGGGTAGAGACCTGGTGCTGCCTTGGGCAGCTCCCCAGGAGAACTGGATGGTGAAGAGACAGTTGCCATTTTCTAAATATGCACTTGCACTTTTCTGCTTCTCTTCTCATAATGTCATTGCTGTCATCCTGTCATTTCAAGTAAGCTGCATTCATTCCTCTCCCTCTGATAACGGCAGGTGGTCTAGACACTGCATTCCCACTCCACACACTCCCCACCCTTAGGCCTCACGGGTGGCCTCCTGCCTCAGCCCTACACAATATCTGTCCCTTGGAATCCACATCTTTCTTCCCACTCTGCCTCCACCTTGGCTCCTTAAAATCCTGGCTCAGTGCCAGTGCTAAGGGACTCTGATGAACATCTGCTCAGTCCTGCAGAGCTCCTCCTTCTCTTCCACCTGCTGAGCCAGATCCTATCCTGATGAATGTTTCTGTCGCCCTACCCCCAAGCCTGGGAGCACCCAGACAGCAAAAGGGCCCACCCTTAATGGCTTCCTTTTATCACCTTCTCTTCTTGGGGAAGGGACATTAGTAACCTACACCTCTGGATGTTTGACCCCACTACTTCACCCATTTATAACCTAACAGAGTGCTTTATGAAGCTTTTCATCTTGGATTGTCACTTGCATTCAAATACAGGGCTTCCCCCACCACTAAATGACCTTACTTAAACATCTCTTATTTCTTTCCATCTCACCTTTGCTGAATATCCCTTCTTGCATTAGGTACTAGTTTTTCTAAAATGACATGGGTCACAACTCCCAGGAAAGAGGAAATGTAAGAATGCTCTTAGAAGACTTCAAACACTTTATGGACTCTTAGTTAAATATTAATTGGCTTATTGATTCTGAATAATTGAGAAGGCCCTGGAATTTTGGAAGGGGGTCTTCAGGGCTATCGAGARAGCTTTATTAGGGGAGATTGGTTTTTGCCTCTAAACAGACCCAA